AGAACCCAATTTTTCTATTCCACAGCCTCGTGTTCCTTCAGTGATAACATTTTTACCTTTGCCTTTTAGATATTCACAAGTGAACTAGCCCCAGGGCACTGGAAAGCACAAAATTCTATTATGCTGCTAATGGCTGGCCTGTATTTTGATGACTAATCTCAACTTGTCACAGCTCATTAGGTACTGAAAATAGACACACTCAGTTCCTGAGCCAAATTTTTAAAAGCATTTTATACCTGCAATATTGCAAGCACAGTTGAATTTTGCAAATCTCAATTTGAAAGGACAGCTAGCTGTTTGCATGTGGTACTTGTTGCATAGCTATATTCCAGGGTGCCAAGCAGCTGCTGAGGCATGTTACCACAGGTGTCTAATATATGATTTCTCTTTCTTTGAGCAAGTAGAAAATACAATCACTTTTCTGAATTATATTGATCAAAAGGCTAAATATTGTGGTTGTAATTCTGTGAGAACAGATTATATAATGTAGGCCAGCTTCAGTTTTATCCAACAGTGAAGCTATTCTAACCTGCCCACAGCATTTGCTGCTGCTATTAGATCTGACATTTTAAAATGTCGTGGTGCATTTCATGAGCAATTTTTTTTAGGACTGAATGATCCCTTGATTTTAGCTGAAAGGCTGAGAAGCAATCAAAAGTAAATGATAAACAATTCACAAATTTTTTGGGCCCACATCTTTTCTATTGAATCTCCATATCTATCTAGTTAAAGCTGTCATCGCTGGCAGAGAAAATAAGTATATATTCTACCTCTGACCTTAAAGAGTTAATAGTCTACTTGGGGAGTAAATGGTCATGCCAGTGACAGATGAAATAAAAAGCTCAGGATAAGAGTTGGGGAGAAAGAAGACTACCTGTATAGATTGGAGATAGATTACAGAGAACATGAAAGGTAAAAAATGGTTTTAAGCAGTGTGTTAGGAAAGAGGAAGCCAATTTATTTTCTTGATGCAGGATGGTGATCTGATTGACAATAAAATTATCTTGACTTGACAGAGGCAATTACACTTGGCTGGAGTTAAGATGAGACTATAGAGTCGTGGCCATGGGCTAGGAGAGACTAAGGATGACAGCGATGATGATGATAGTGGTAGTAACAGCTAATATATACTGAACCTTTTGTCTGTGTTAATACCTTTGTGATAGGTGACATTAGACATATGGACATTGACACATGAATTCACTCTCTCAGAGCCACATCGTGAATAAAAAGTAGAACCTTAATTTACATTCAAATTTGATTCTGAAATCTGCTGTCTTTTTACTACTTTACCAAATAGATGAGAAGGGATTGGCTAGGTTGGTGGTTCCTATAATCATTTGTATCCTGAAGTCGTTTGTGCATAGCTATTTTATTAACACTCATTGGCATAAACTGTTGAATTACATATTGTCTCTCCTGTTAGTAAACTGAGACTCGTAACCTGAGTAGAATTTCATTACAGTGTCTGTGTGACAATGTTTGCCTCTTCCTCATCCTTCTGCTTTTTCTGCTCCTTCCCCCACTTCCTTGGATGTTGATTAGCTTTGTCCAAGCATGAGTTACAGTGCTGTTGGCCATGAGGTCAGTGTTAATGAATCAATAAAATATATTAAACAAAATGTCTTAAATTAGAAATGAATGTGAAACGAGGTTATATATTGATGAAAATTAAACCAGTGAATCACGGGAAGCTAACCCGGGGTTTTCCCCAGGAACTGTCGTTCCCAGCTACTTTATAGAGCAGAGCAGTCACAAATAACAAGAATCAATTATTTTCATTATGAAAATGCTGGTAAGGGATGAGTTGTACTGGGATGAGAGAGTTATGTGCTGTTTATCTTTGCTATTTATAATCTTTATGTTACAGAGCGCACTTCCTAAGGCCTGCTCTCCTTTGGGAGGAACCAATTTTAATTCTCATTGGTTTTTAAAAAATCATTTATAATTTGCCCTTGACAAATTGTTACTTTTGCAGTTAGAAATAGTTTTAGCTCAAGTTCTTTCATTCTTGTTAAATCCAGAGCACCTCTTCCTAATTTTAATGCTACTTGATTAATTGACAGCCTTACCTTATAATTTTATAGTACTCTTAAATTCCTCTGGTACTTAAAAATAATTTTGTTTGTTTTTATTTGTTTTTACATCAGGAATTGACAATGTTTTGTAGTATTTCTGTTAAGGGTCAGATAATACTTTTGGCTCTGGAATATGTGAAGTCTGTAGTCACATTTAGAAACCTTAAAGTATGCTTTACAATCATTATTTTAGCTCAGAACTCAGTCCAGAATTGGCCCAACATTGTAGTTTGCCAACCCTTGTTTATCTGTTTCAGCATGCTGTGCCATCAACCACTCCTTTTTATGGCTGGAGTAACATCTATTTCACTGTTTTAACTCGTACTTAAAAAGGACAAAGTATGTTAATTTGTTTTTGTATTAGATCTTAATTACCAACCAATTCATGTGAATTTATTTTAAAGTCTAGATGATATTACTGTATTGCATGAAATAATGTAACTACTCTAAGATTGTCCATATGTTATAATACTTCAAAGGTGTTTTTATTTTTATCTAGGGATTACTATCTTGGGAAAAATAGTTTTTAAATACTATAAGACTTGACCTATTTCACATAATCATCTTAGGGTTTTAGTATCAAAATTCCTTAAGTTCATAGGTAAGCATGTTTTATGGCATCAGTTCTAATAATTTTGAATTTTTGTACTGTAATCATTAATGATCTGGTTAATCATGAATACATTGTGTATCTAGGAACAACAGCAGAATTATCAAGACACATGTATCTGAAAGTTCTTGTAAAGCCAGATCTGATTTAGAACTTGCCTTCCTGCCTTGGCTTCCCTAGTGCTGGGATTATAACTGTTTGCCACTTAGAAGTAGTGGCATTAAATATACTCTGTGTGTGTGTGTGTGTGTGGTGTGTATGCATGTTTATTTGTTTGTGAGTGCAGTTGCTTGTATGTGTGTATGTATAGGCCAGAGGTTGATATCACTTATCTTCCTTGATCACTTTCCATGTTTAATTCAGTGAGGTGGGATCTCTTACTGAACCCAGAGTGCTGGAACTCACTATTTTAGCTAATCCATTTAGGCAGGTTGTCTCTAGGAGTCCGGCATCTGTTTCCTGAGTGCTGGCATTATATGCTGACTTCCAGGCTCTTCAGCTATTTAAAGTCCACGACAGGGATCCATACTCCAGTTTTCTTATTTTATGGAAAGTGCTTTATCCACTGAGCCACTTTGCAGCCAGACACTAATGTCTTACTAAAAATGTTTTATTTCCAAAAGATATGCTAAAAACAAAGAATTCAAATAAATTATATTTTTGTGAATTTTCTCATATTAAAATAACTAATAATCTTTTTATTTTTAAAAAATTATAATATATATGTATATATATATATATATATATAATTTACTGCGATGCTTTGAAGTAAAAACTAGTTTTGCAGCCTCCTTGGAGTGAGTGATATTTTGATTCTTTATTTAAAAATTTTAGTGAAGCACAATTTAAATTATGTGAATGTGTGGGTGTTGTGTGTCAGTGCAGGTGTTAAAGCAGGCCTAAGGCATTGAATACCATGGAGCTGAGTCACAGGAAGTTGTGAATTGCCAGATGGGTGCCGAGAACTGAACTTGGATCCTCTACAAGAGCAGTATGTGCTCTTAACCATTGAGACACATCTTTCTAGCCCCAATATTTCTTTGTTTTAAAATTGCATTTACGTTTCCATACAGGGTATTAGATACCATGGCATTTCCAAACTACATGTGTTTCAGTAGATTGTCTTCTCCTTTCATCTTTTCCGCTACCCTGCCCTGACCCCCACTTCTGTCCTGTTCCCAGTTTCTTTTGCTCTTTTAAGTCACTGTTGTGCTTTTGCGCACTTTTGTTCTTCCATGCTGTCTGGTTTTACCCTTTCTTGTTCTCCTTCCTAGTTTTATAGGCTTGACACACAGTTAAAGGCATATAAAATTTTCAAGAAAGTGAATGATTATGGAAAGCATAATATTAACAGAAGAGCCCCAAATCTTCCATGTTTTTGAGTTATAGTTCATTTATTTATTTTGCATGCGCCAGAGTGAACATGTGTCACTGTGTTCATGTGGAGGTCAGAGGACAACTTGTCTGTGGAAGTGGCTCTTTTCTTATCTGGGCCTTGGGGAATTGAATACTGGTGGTCAGGCTTGACGGCAAGCACCCTTACTAGCTGAGTCATCTCACCTGCGCTTTTATTTTTGATTGCATGCGTGCCTGTGTGATATGTGTGTATGTTAGTGCCGTCATCCATGTGCTATGCTGTGGTTCTGGAGGTCAGAGGATGACAACTCTCAACTTTTCCAGGCAGGATTTCTCTTTCTTTCTGAGGTATGACATACTCCAAATTAACTGCTTCAAGAGCTTCTGGGAGATCTTCCTGTTTCTACCTTCCATTTTTCCCAGGTATTTCAGGTGTGTGCTGCTGCAGCTGGCTTTTTATGTGAGTATCAGGAATTTCACTCAGGTTCTCAGACTTGTAAGTGCTTTTACCTGCTGAGCCATCTTATCAGGCAGTCAGTTGAGGTTTGCGAGACACAGTTTCATGTTGCCCAGGCTGGCTTTAAACTTGTTACGTAGCCAAGAATCACTGTTGAACTTCAGATTTTTCTCCTCTACCTCCTGAGTGCTAATATTACCAGCATGCACTACCTGCTGCAGTAGGTTTCTGCAGTATCAAATACACTCTAGGGCTTTGCGCATGCTCGGCAAGTGATGTTACCACTTCTAGAAATATATGTTCATTTAAAATTAGACTTGGCAGAAGACAGTAAGATTTTTGCACTCTACAAGAGTTAGGGCAGCACAAGGGGTTTATGTAAATGTATAAAGTAATTTGAAATAGTTGAATATTTAATGTATCTCCCAAGATTCCCCCAATACTTTTCAGGACTTAGAAACAGAGGATCTTTTTACTTACAGTGGTCTTTTTGATATGTCTTTTTCAGATGGGAAAGTTGACAACCATGCCCGCAGGTCTGATATATGCATCTGTAAATGTACATCTGGCCGAAGAAGAGGAACCCAAAAAGCAGCTAATAAGACCAGAACAGGTAATTGACCTACCAAAGTTTGTGAATTTTGAATGATATAGGGATAATACAAACACTATGTAGGTGTTTTGCTACATCTATCATAATAGATATTATATATTTTATAAGTATAAAGAAATAGCTAGAGATATCTAAAATATATAATATATTTAGTAGAAACACAAAATTGTAACTTCAAAAATGGTGATATTTTTCTTAGTAGCAAGCCATTAAGAATGGGGTCTTCAGCCACAAAACCCTCTACCTACAGTTTGTCTTGCCTGGACAGTGTTCTGGGACCAGATCCTAACAAAATAGTCATCACAGAGACCAGAGAGACTTTATCCAGCAACTGATAGGGACAAATTCAGAGTCCCACAGCCCAAGCATAGGTAGAGCTCAGGATGTCCTGTGGAGGAAGGATCATATAGGAGAAAGCAGAGGGGTCAGGGACACCATGAGAACATGGTCCACAGAATCAGTTGACTCAGACTCATGGGGGTTGCAGAGATCCGAGATCCTAGGGCTACTGCATATATGTTACGAGTAAGTAGCTTGGTGCTTGTGGGATTCCTAACAGTGGGAGCATAGGCTGTCTTCGACTCTTTTGTCTGCTGGTGTGACCCTTTTCCCCCTACTGGGTTGTCTCGTAGATCCTAGATGTGATGGTATGAGCCTGGTGCCTGGACTTATTGTAGCATGTTATGGTGTGTTTGAGTGATGTCCTTGGAATGTTCATCTTTTTCTAAGGAGAGATGGAGTATATCTGGAGGAGAAGGGAGGTTGGGAGAGGGGAAGCTGGGGGAGGGGAGGGAGGGGAAATTTGTCCAGGATGTAATATATGAGAGAAGACTGAAAAATGAATGGGGTCTTAGAAAATGGGAAGCACATTGGAAAATAACATATAAATGTTGGAACAGCTTGTTTTAGGCTCCTTCAAATTGGATACTCCTGGTTATATTCATGATGGGGGGAGGCACTTGAGTTTGAGCACTCTTGTCTTGTCCGTGACTTCTGCTGGCTTTGAACCTTTATTAGAAAAGAGTCTGATGTCTGCCATATATGCCTTCACTTGTATTACAGGGGCTCTGCTGTCCGCATTTCCCTTTGCAGTCTGTATGCTGGACAGGTTTTTACCTGCCCCATACTACTCAGCTCGTACCCTCTGTGGTGGCTCATCTTCTAGTTATGTGGTGTCTTCCAATTAGGTTGGGGTTATGAGGAGCAACCATATTACTGCTATTTGCTTTTATACTTTGAAGATCTTCTGAGTACTAATTACTTTGCTGGATGGATGTAGATGAGGGAGGGTATCATGTAAATCACCAGAGCTTCACAGTTCTTGATGTCTATAGCAGAGCAGGGTTGATAGGTGGTGGTTCTGGAGATGGATTCACATACCGAGCATAGGCCCAGAGCTATCAAACGCCAGTGCTATTCTCAGTTGAGGAGCTATGGTCCCATGAGACTCATGCCACCTTCACTCTTCTGCCTGTAGGTGTCTGGTCCTATCACTTCCTCTGTATCAGTGTTTCCCAGGGCCCTCTCTTATCCTAGGGCTGGGGCAGATGAAATTTAAGCTCCCTGACTTATCGTTGCCCCCTTTTCTCAGGCCTCCAGGTAGCTCAGTTTAAATAATGAATTTTTTTATCACTAGAGTGCCTAACTCCTGCCCTTAGAGTGACTTGTGGGAATCTCTCCTGCTACCTTGTCCACTGAAGGAATTACTCTCTCATCAAAATTTAGAACTGGTGCTGAGGCTTGTTATGGTTTGGGGGTTATCCTACAAGTAGGGCATTCTGTCTCTTTCACCAGGATTGCCTGGCTTACATTTTGAAGGCATCCTTTGCTTCCCATCCTCCAACAGTGAGCCATGCAGATGGAGCACACATATGTACACATAATTAAATAAAATCCAATTAAAAGTGCAAAAATTGAAAGTAATGTGTCTTTTGGGTATGGTGATCCCCATCTGTAATCCCAGGACTCAGGAAGCAGAGGTGAGAAAGTCATGAGTTTGAGGCTATCTAGGAACCTTGAGCTATATAGTGAAGCTTAGTACCTTGGACTACATAGGGAGGCCCTGTCATATAAAAAAATACAACAAAACAACCCACTGGATCATACTATATGTGACATCACTTGATTTTGCCTTTATAAATAGTTGTTATATCATATCTGTAGATTCTATAGACAGTTTTAGCTGGTTTTTAGATGGAAGGCCAATGATGATTCCTGTTTTGACACAATGCTGGAAAAGGCATCCCAGCTATTTGTTTTTGACATGAACTTTATTCTATCCTCAGCTCCCCATATATACTGCACCACCTCTCCATTCTAAATATGTTGAAGAACAGCCTGGTTATTTACAAATGGGCTTTGCATCAATCCGTACTACAGCTGTTCGGTATGTTGGCTGGTGCAAGGTAAGTCTATTTTGATAGTTAAATAGCAGTGTTTTTAATTAATTGTTTCAGGTATTCATAGATGCATTTTTTAAAGAGAAAAACCACATTGAAACTTAGTGGCTTAAAATATCAAGCTTTGTATAATGGCCCATTATTTTGAGAATTAGGGATATGATGACAGTTCAGACAGCTGATTCTTCTATTCATGTGGTATTGCCTGAGGCCACTCAGTGTCATTCATCGGGCAAATGGGCTGAGCTAAAGAAGCCAGAATAGCTTAATTTATATCTTTAACACCCTGACAAGTGCGGCTGGAAGACTAGACTCAGCTGAAATTGTTGACTGAGATGGAAGCTGATAGCACACTGATGTTTTATTATCATCGTCATATACATTTAGTTGTGTGTTGTCAACATCTTTACTGTGAAGATCTTAGTAATAGTCATACTAGTGTTTTTGCTAATTCTAGAATAATAATCACAGTTTCTACTTCACCAACAAATGCAGCCTGATTGTCAACCCATGTGTGATTTTAGCATTTATTATATCATTTTTTGGTAATTTCATGCATAAACACCATATTTACATCAGTATATGAGTATTGTTTTTACATCATTTCTACTCCAACCTCTCTCTCCTTCAACTCCTCCTGCCTTCCCACCACTCCCTCTCAACTTCATGACCCCTTTATTATTGATGTACATACACATGTGCACACACATGAGCACACACGTGCACACACGCCCTGCTGAGTCTGTTTAGTGTTGTTCATATGTATATATATTTAGGACTGACCACTTGGCATTGGATAGCCTATTGGATAGGCTTGTTTCCAGAGAGCACTTATTCCTGTTCTCTTAAAGGCCATTAATTAATTTCTTATGGCTCTTAATCTATGACTGGGACCTTGTGACATTTTCTATATCCTAATTGAAATGTCAACTGATAGTATCATTGCTAAGGCCATGTTTAGGCTGCCATGTTGTTAAGATTTCTAGACGTAGATTCCATGTCATGTATAATTCTAATATATTCCTTTTAAAAGAAAATTTGAGGCTGACGAGATGGCTCAGTGGGTAAAGACAATTGCACTGTGAGCCTGGTGACCTGACTTTGATCCCCAGAACCCATGAAAGGAGAAAAGAGAGAAACAACTCCACAAAGTTGTCCTCTGCCTGAATTTATACACACTGTGTGCATATGTACACAAATACATATATGTACACACATACATACGTATATGCACATACACATCACACACTCACACACCTATGATCATCAAGAAAATTCAATGAACCTATAAAAAATAGCATCCTTCGATGAACTCTCATCAATCTGTATGAGATTTCAAATGTGATATGGGTTTATTTTTGACAGTTTGTGCTTGTCATACAATTCCAGGGTACTGGTTGTGTTAGTCACCCTTAATAATGTGATCTCTGCGGGAAATATCTTAACTAATTGTGGTCTGAGTCATGCCCCTCAGGCTATATGCCAAGAATAAGATGATTCAGACTTAGGTCTCTTGAGACCTAATTTTCTATAGTGTACTCAGATGTGTCTTCAATGAGGTAATTGTTCCTGAGAGATCTTTAAATTGCTATTGTAACTATCACCCAATTTAAGACTGAAAGAACATTTTATTCTGTTAATATGCTGAAGCAAATAGGTTGATGAAGGGCACATTCAAATGCATTTCATCTTCAATGTAAACAACTTTTCCTCTCTAATTTTCTCCTAAATACGCAATCTATTCCTCAAAAAAGTCTGATTTAAATTATTTCTTTGTCAGAAGTTGCATCATGTAGTGCAAATTCAGAGCATGCTCCTAGTCTTCGCTTAGTCTATTGACTAAGTTAACAGTGCCCCCCAGTGGGGAAAAATGAATTCCTAAACACAGCTAAGGAAAATTTCCCCAAAGACCAGTTTTCTTCCTTGATAGTTAAATGGTACAAAATCAGATCAGTAAGTATTTTAACGCTGCAGCCGATGTTTTCTTAGACAGCCCTCCAAGAGAAATGTCTCAGTGGCACTTTATGTTTTATGCTAGTTTGTATAGTTTTAAGCCATGGTGAACATCTCTGTTCCCTCTTAAAATGAGACAAAATTAGTAGGCCAAGACATCTCATACCCATCTAGTACAATTGTTTCTGTTTTTCTGCACCGAAAATATCTGTTATTCTTGTTTCCATCTCATGGTTTCATACATAAGGAGGTTATATGTTTAGATTGGTTTTCTTGTTTGTGCAATACAATCTAGCTTGTACTATATCAAGATTCTGAGTAAATCACTCATATTTCCCCTAATGTAAGTGAGACAACACCCACTATTCAATGAATGTAACAGTATCTTGGCATTCAAGTAAGTTAGAAACAGATAAACAAACAACCCCCCCCCCCGCAAAAAAACCCCCATTGCTTTAGGGTGTTAATTCCTTAGGTGGGTTAATATAATCTTGATTTATGGAGAATTTGTATTCCTATTTAAAAATAAATGCCTCATTTTTTTTCTCATTCTAATTGCACACTAAAATGAAAGTAAGAGATAAAGTGCTTGCAGTAGGCCTTTCCTGTTTTTGTTTTTTCTCTGCAAATCACTATGCTGTTGCTATTGCATCCTTACTAGTCAGATGGTTGTGTGTTTGCTGAGATAGACCTCCCTTTGTGATTTATATAAGATTCATTCATTTTATTCAGGCCATTATAAAGTTTTCGGTATCTGTTCTGACTTCTATGGGAAAAACAAGACACCAGAATTACTATGTTAAGTAAAATGAGAGTAAGAGATGAAAGGATAATATAGTAAGCGGGTGTACTCACAGTGGGCAAACCGAAGATCTGGCTGTAGATTTGAGTGTAGTACTAAATCAACAGCTAAATGTAATCTCAAAACTGTGAGCTATTGTGTCAATCAACCACTTCAAAAATTCACATCCTCTTTTGTTCCTTTTTTTGCTTAGGGTGTTTATATCTTTATGAAGAATGGGATAGTGGATACAGTACAATTTGGTAAAGGTAGGTGAGTAAACCCTCTATAAATAGAAACATATTATGGTTTTAAGTTATATTGTGTAAAATTTAAGAATATAAACATAGTATATTACACATTGTGATGATTATACTGATGTAGAAGATGATTCTGGGTTTTATTTGTAATAGTAACAAATAAATAGTATGTACTATTTATTTTGAAATTTATTACATGGTAGGCCTTGTTAGGTTGCTGAGTGTTGCTGTTCTAGCTACAGAGTTTTTTCTTACAGATTAGAAATGGAGGGTTAGAAAGTTTAATTAGTTTCCCAAGGTTATTCAGAGACAATACCGAGGTTTAAACTCAAGTCACTTTTAACTGAGAGTCCACATTGTATATTTATAAAGCATAAGGTAAAGATTTATCCCCTCTTTGGTAATTCATTTAAATGAGTGTTATTATCTGTTAAATTCATCATGCTTTTTTTATCAATTGATGGGAAATGACATAGCTATCACTCATCTTGATATGTTTCACCTAATATTGGAAAGTAATTGTATTTGATGTTTTAGCTCCTTAATGGTATTTGGCAGCAGACATAACTTCCTGATATTCCTTGCTTAGTTAGAGATGTTGGCAAAATTAAACATGTATGGAAAGCAGAAAGAAATATCAGCTAAAATTTTAGGTACCTACAATAAACTTAATGAGCTTTATTTGCAATAGTAGTACTTAATATACACTAAGGATTAACTATCAATATTTTTGGGACAGCATCTTACTGTGTAGCCTAGGTTAAGCTGGAACTCATTATCTTACTGTCTTATCATCTCAAGTGCTGGATTAATATATGCACCAATATACCCACCTATCCTTCATTAATCTTGAGGAGCATAGTTATATATGTGATTGTCATCAAATAACTATGATAGAAGAATATATTTTTCGATCTGGAAACATTTTTTATGTTTAAAACACTGAGGCATATGTACTTTTGATTATGCTTTATATGTTTTTGTCTATTTTTACTTCTCATCATGATCTTTAACCAATGGCTAATGTGAGGTTATTGGGAGATAGTGATAAGAAGTGTCTAACTGCAAAATTCCTTTCGAAGATATCGTTAATTCTTGATGGATCCTACCAGTGTTTAAACAGGTAACAGTAGAAGCCTGTTAATTGTAGGTATGTAAAACATACACAGTCAGGAATTTATTTTATTTAAGCTATACCATCTAGCATTATAGTTTATTGAATAACCTATGTGACAAAGAAGGCAAGTATTAAATGACCTATGGAAGGTAAATTTGATTTTATAGTTTAGTATTATACTAAGTGATTTGTTTCTGTCCATTTCAATTTCTTGTATACTTTATCTGAAGAGTATTTAAACTGCTCACTAACATTATATTGTCTTCCTGTAACATGCTAGTCTCCAGCTGCTCTGTACTACACTTATATAGAATGTCCAATTGCAGTCAGTCACCCTTACTCATTCTCAACTGGTCTCCTCAGATGCATATGTCTATCTGAAGAATCCTCCTCAAGATTTTTTTCCTAAACTGGGAGTGATTACAGCTTCGGGACTGGCGGGTTTGGTCACAGCAAGGAAAGGTATGTTTATACTATATATTTTCTGTTACGTTAGTTCTGATTTTTACCTTCATGACATTTATTGGATAATATCAGATTAGGTTAGTGTAAAATGTTTACATTTTTACCATACCATAAGCTTGACTATACTATCTGTCGTGAAGTATAAGAACAACTGAAATTCTTTTATTCTTCTGGGAAAAATGCAAAGTGACATAGGAATTCTGAAGAATTGATGATTTCTCATAAATTTAAACATACACTTATCAAGCAACATAGGAATCACATTCCCAAGTATTTACTTACCCTAGATATGCTGCCCAGTCTCGTGTCATCTTGACACAAGCTAGAGTTATCTGCAAGGAGGTAACCTTAACTGAGAAAATGCCTCCATAACATCCAGCCATAAGACATTTTCTTAATTACTGATTGATGAGGGAGGGCCCAGCCCATGGTGCACTGGTGGTGCCACTCTTAGGCTGGTGGTCTTGGGTTCTATAAGAAAGCAGGCTGAGGACGGGCAATGGTGGCGCATGCCTTTAATCCCAGCACTCGGGAGGCAGAGGCAGGCGGATCTCTGTGAGTTCGAGACCAGCCTGGTCTACAGAGCTAGTTCCAGGACAGGCTCCAAAGCCACAGAGAAACCCTGTCTCGAAAAAAAACAAAAAAAAACAAAAAAAAAGAAAAAAAGAAAAGAAAGCAGGTGGCGCGCAAGCCATGGGAAGCAAGCCAGTAAGCAGTAGCCCTCCATGGCCTCTGCATCAGCTCCTGCCTCTAGCTTCCTGCCCTGTTTGAGTTCCTATCATGACTTCCTTCAGCAGTGAACAACAATATGGAAGAGTAAGCCAAATAAAATCTTTTCTGCTCAGCTTGGTTTTTGGTCATGGTGTTTTGTCACAACAATAGCAACCATAACTAAGACATTAAAGAAACGACACACCCCTGCATAAATGCTTATTGCAATGTCAATCATATAAAATCTGGAAACAAGCTGAATATCCTTTAAACAGGCAAGTGGATAAAGGAATCTGTGGCACAGTCCTACAAGGAAAACCCCTTAGCATCAAAATAGTTTGAGCGATTGGTACATATAACATTGGTTGGGAATTTGAAAGCAGGCAGTGAATGTCTGATTCTGTTTGTATGACATTCTCAAAAGGACAGGATTAGAATGACAGAAAGTAGATTGTTAGTTGCCTGAGGTTAAGAATGTGGGAAATGTACAACTGCAAAAGGAAAATATGAAGTATTTTTAGTTATAAGACTATATATTAAAATGTACAAAGATATTACTTTTTTTAACAAAATATTAAAAATGTATAACTGTTCCAATTAAAAATGTAATTTGCCCTTTTTTTCTGCCTTGTTATTGCAATTTTGTTTTTTTTAATCTAAAGATATTTATACTACCAAAAAATTCTTGAGAATTGTATGTTAATATAAAGATATCCACTATCCACTCAAACTGCTTTTCTTAGAGCCATACTGCTCATATTGGAAGCTCTGTTAAGGATTTGAGAAAGACATGCTATATCATATAAAACCTGGTTTACTTTTGTTTTTATCCTGACCAAAGTAGTTGAAATTAATGTTAGCCAGATGGGAATGGAGTCTGTAAATGTGGATAACTCAGTCTACCACTCTTATTCACTAGGAGACTTGATATATTTGCTTTTTAAAACCTTTTTAAACAAGGCATCTGTACCTACTTTCCCATCAGACTCTAGTTCTCATGTGAACTGTCAGATTCATGAGATTGCAATCAGGCTTGATGACTAGTTGCAAAGACTCACAGGGCTCAGTATGTAGTTATGGACATGGACAAGAACTATTGCAATGGGAGGTATAGGATGAAATTTAAAAGAGGGAAATGACATAGGACAAAGTTTAGAAAAAAATCAGTTATAAGTTTCTAGCAGTCTTTTCCCAGTGACTAATAAAACATATGCTTATTTTCTTCAGTAACAAGTTGAGACAATATGAATAAAGCCAAGTATTGAGTGGCAACTATAGGCAGAAGAGTGACCAAGATTTCATTGGAGGCTAGTCATGTAAATAGTATCTACCTACCAAAATTCCAGACTTCCAAGAGGAGAAGTTTGCAGATGCTAGCAGAAGCTGCTGATGGCAGCAGTCTTGAGTTTACCGTGTTAACTCCTTTTATGCATGCTATTTAACAACTCTATTTCATATGCATCATTTTCACTGTCTTCCATAAGATTATTATTTCTTTATATTGAGTGCTCTTGAGCTCTTTTATATTCATAAAATATAGAATAGGTTACTAGGAACTATAGTAGCCTCACTGTACTATATAGGTCAGTAGAACTGATTATCTCTGCATAATTGTGTTTCCTTTTTTTTCTTCCAACTCACTTCGATATCTTATTCCTTGAGTTTTAGGAATTTGTCTACAATGTATTGCTTAGTTTCTTAATTACAAAATAGTAATCCTCTGGTAAGAGAAAGTATTTCTTTATGTGAGCACTAGAATAATCTAAACCTTGTTGATAGTGAAATAAACACATTCGATCTGAAGGTGTATTTTATTTGAAATGTTATAAATTATGAGAGAATAGCAAATACAGAATGTTTTGTGCTTACTATTTGAGTAAATACCATGAAACTTTTGTCTCAGAGAAATGTACGATGTGTAATAGGCCGTAGGTCATATGTAAACCTTATTTATATAGGTCATAGTACAGTAAAAACAAGAAAACTATTTCTTTCTTATAACCCTATTGTACTGAAGATAGGAATCTAAAAGAAAACCATTTGCATATTTCTAAGTGCACAGTGCTACTTAGTATCTGTGTTAAGTATTCTTTCTTAATTGTAAAAGTAGAATTTTGAACCTTCATGAAACTCCATTTTGCAGAATTGTTCCTTATATACAAGTATGGAAAGAGTGAATGCCATTTTTTTTCAATAATTTATAAAGAAAACCTGCCATATACCACCATAGTTCATGGAATTTTCATTAGTTAAGAGATCCTAATTTTTACATATTGGGATTGTTAAATCAAGAATGAAACAAAAATACCGAGGAGAAGCAGAGTTGCCATTCAGTTTAGGATATGTTGGCAGTCTAGACTTTCTCTCCCTATTCCACAGAAAGCATCCTTCCTACCCACCTTAGCCAAGCTCAGTCTATTGTCGACCTGACTATAACAGGCGTCTTTAAAAATAACTAAACCAGACAGAGAAAATACAAGCCTTGCAACATTTCACAAATTGCAAAGTTACCAGAAAACGTTGCCAGATATTTTTTCACCTTAATATTTTGATATTTCCCTTTTAAATAAGGGGCCAAAAAGCTGTTAGAGTTACCAGTACTTTGATTGAAAAAGTGACATATAATTGCTTAATCTCATCAGAGTCCAACATACCCAGACAGATATCTGGGATGCATATTATTTTGAAGCAGTGGTCTTATAAGTTTAAGTTTCATCTATGAATGTTCTATTTCCCATTGTTATACAGCATTACTATGGTTCTATGGAAGTCTTTAGGTGGAGTGTGTGGTTAAGATAAAAGCTGTGTGACAGGGCTTGATATAGAACTTCTTATGCCCGGGTTAATCAGAGCAATTTCAAGTTGACAGGCTCCTAGTGAGAACCTAGTGAGTTCCTTTGGAATTTTTTAAAAAGAGATTTTACTGTCAAAAAAAATATGAAAATGACTCTTAGATGCTTGGTTAAGGCACTTTTGAAAATGCATTAATTATGTCAAGCTAATTGTAATTAGTATTACTTCAGTATTCTGATTCAGTGACATGGAGTTATGCACCTTTTGAGGTCATTAGCTGATTGGTTAGTTGGGTCCTTCACCTTTCTAAGTGTTAATCAGAAAGGGCATATAGAAGAGAGTCCATTTCACTTTAACCTGCTTTGATGAACACGGTAGTTGATTAATTCTATCATGCTATGTTAGATATTTGAAAAAAGTATAATTATAATTTTAAGTTTCTTAGAATATGAAAATAATCAATCTTTAAAAAATGAAGATAATTACTAATCCCTTTGTGTAGATAATTATTAGGTTCGGGACATTTTTCTTAAATTGGACATGATGGTTAAGGGACGTTAATTGAATTGAGAACCTTAAGGGCATTTTAGGTACTATCTTGATTGGTATTACTAACTACAGAGCAATTTAACATAGGGTGGTAGCTTAAAGAGGGGCAAAGAATATATTACAGTGTAATAACATCAAGTCTCTGGTGGTATCTATTTGGAGTGAATGATTTGTTTGAATTTCATAGGTTCTAGGTTTAAGAAGATTGCTTATCCACTAGGATTGGCCTCATTAGGAGCAACTGTTTGTTATCCAGCTCAGTCAGTAATAATTGCAAAGGTAAGTTCCTTTTACGTGATAACAGTGTTTGTTTAAACTCTCAGTGTGACAAGATTTAAATATCACACAAAACCTTAAACATTTGATTTCAGGGGCATGTAGTTGGAATAAACTCTTGGGTTGGCAAAATGACCATAGCATCTTTTCATGGAAAATGCCATTCTTAATTTTATGATCTTCAAAATAAATAGGATGAATTTGTTTAACTATAGTTCAGCAATATAAACGAAGGAGACGGATCAAGTTCAGAGACAATGCTGGAATTTATGGGGGGAAATACTGCTTCATAGTTGAACTAAATAAAAAAATTTTCTTAGTTAATAGAAAATTATATCCTCTGGCAGCTTCTCGGTTCAGAAGATTAACACAATGCAAAAAAACAGCCAAATAATTCTTTAAAAATAATTAAACCAGACAGAAAATACAAGGCTTATAACATTTCACAAACTACAAAGTTACCAGCAAACATTGTAAGGTATTTTTTCACCTCAATATTTTGCTATTTCCTTTAAAATAAGGTACCAAAAAGCTGTTAGAGACTTTCAAAAAAGAGACTTCTGAGGTTAAAAAATACACACATAAACAAATTAAATTTTGAAACCATTGGAATGGAAAAAAAAGGTTCTTCCAACACATTGTAGTTGCCGCACATCTAAATTTGAACCATTTTAATTGAATTTTTTTTGCAATGATAGGGGTTGTTCCCAGAGTCTCAGACACTATACTGGTCAAGCCATAATCTATATCTCTTGCCTTGTATTTTATTATTATTATTATTATTATTACAAATTCAGATTCAGAAGCACAGATTTTGGGTATGCAAGTTTTTCTTCTTTTCTGTCATTAGTTATCAACATTTAATATTCTAATTCATACTTAAATATTGGTACCAGAAGGATGTTTTGTACTTGTATTCTCACTACTATATCTCTTTGTTGATGTAGATAAAACTGCTTTTTTTTCAATATTTTGAGAATGTCAAGGATATTGTGAACTCTGCAGTTTGTAATGTGATCAAGCTATAAAAGCTTATAAGAGAAAAGAAAATTGTTCATTAAATCTAGTTATACTTGAGAAAATTGCTGGATAAAGTGACAAATTTGTTTTTAAAAGACTCCTTCCTCTGAATTTACATGAGAATTAGCCACTCAAATTAATGTTGATGCTGAACAAAAACTTGAGCTCATTTTACTTAACTTTTATATTGTTTTTATTTGCTGATAAGCAAACACTGGCCCAATGAAGGTTCCCAAGGACTGCCTTATCCAGAGTCAACTTTAGGTGTCCCAATTTTCTGTTTGTTACCAGTCCCAGCGGATACTGCTGCCACTGATTCTGCTCTACTCTTTTCTTTTTAGAGTATTATCTCTAAATCTCTCTCTATCTATCTATCTATCTATCTAATCTCTCTCTCTGTTTTCATAAAAATGATACCACTTCATTCTTAAATATAAGCATTACAGAAAAGTTTAGACTAGAAGAAATATAACCACTGAAATATGCTTACATCCATAAAAATGTCAGTGTCAAAATTTCTTAGAATATTTTTAAGCCATCTTTACATGATTACACAGAGATAAAAATAGATGAGTAAAATGTAGATAAGAATAATGTAATGGTATAGATCTATATGTGTGTGTGTGTGCATGTCCATGCACATTGTATGCTTAGATATGCATGTGTGCCTTTACATGCACATATGTAAGCATGTGCATGTGAAGGCTGGAAGACAACCTTGAGTACCTCAGGAACACCATGCACCTTCTTTGAGGCAGGGTCTCTCATTAGCCTGGAGCTCACTAATTAGTTTATATTGGCTTGCCAGTTACTTCCAGGGATCATCATGCTTCTGCTTCTGCAGAACTCAGATTACAAGTAGACACTATCACACTGGTTGGTTATAGGCATTGAACTAAGGTTCTTAGGCTTACAAAGCAAACACTTTCCTTATTGAACCATGCCCTCAGACCCCCATCCCTTTTCTCTATTTTAAAGGAAGTTTGTTCACTAGTATTAAGGATTTGTTGTTGTTGAGATCTATGCCATTTTTTACAACAATAATATATTAAAAATTATATTTTCAATTTGTTTCTTTCAAATAGGGAAAATAATTTTAAATCATTGAAAAAACATGGTTGCAGAATCCACCTAGGTTTTGTGTGTTGTATGTCATAAGTTTTTAAACTGATAATCTTTGATGAGGGAGAGGAGCCTGCATTTTGTCCAGGCTGCCCTAAATAATCACACAAAAATTGTATTCATTTAAACACTGTGTGGCCCATTATGTCTAGCCTGTTATTGGCTAATTCTCACATATTAGTTTAACACATTTCCATTAATGTGTATCGCCACTTGACTGTGGCTTACCAGTGAGTCTAACCAGCATCCATCTCTGGCAGGAGAACCATGGCATCTGCCTGTCTCTGCTTTCTTCCTCCCAGAATTCTGTTCTGTTTTCCCCACCTACCTGAGTTCCACCTTATCAACTAGGCCAAGACAGTTTCTTTAATAATCAATTACACAAATACAGAAGGGCCTCCTACACCATTTCCCCTTTTCTGTTTAAACAAAAAGGAATGCTTTAATATAGTAAAATTACATATAACAGGTATCAAGAAAGAATTACAGTTACAATATTTAGATCTTTTTTATCTTTTACCATAACAAAGGAAAACTATAACTATCTATCAACTCTTCAGCTCCAACAAAGACTCCAAAAAGGATGTAATATTACCTAAGTAAACAGGAAGTAAGCAACTTCCAAAACTCTATAATTGACAGAAACATCTCGCTGCCTATACAGTTACCCAAAGTTCTTTTGTACCGTTGGGGCATCCATCTTCAGCCTACAGGCCCATAGTATCCAGCAGACATTTCCATGATGCAGGAAATTTCAAAGACAGTTCAGTCATTTTCTTCTGTGTCCTGCAGAATGTCTCACAAGACTCTTTGATGAAACAGGAACCCTGAAGGACCATCTCACCTTTAGGCAAGTTCAGTAGTCCTCTCTCTGTGGATTCTTCATGTCCAGTTCATGCAACAGTCCAGGCAAGAGCAGTTTCTTGCCCAAATGGCTAACCAACTCCATAAGGAGCCTTTTCAATGCCCATCTTCCTCATCAAGTAGCTTGGTACTGTCAGGAGCAGACATGTCTCACTGTCATGAAAAGCCCTAAGTTATTTAAACATTTTAAATGCCATATTCTATAGTCTTTGAAAGATATGAAGAATCCCTATCTAACTGAAATATATCTCTATATAGCTAGAAAATCTAACTAACATGACTACAAGCTTGACTATTATTGATGATTATCCATTTACAATATATATTTTCTAATTATACATTACATTTTAAATGAACTACACAATCACAATGCTTTAAGATAAAAAATAGATATACATATAACAAGATTGACCTTAAATTTATATCAATAAAGTAAAATTTATACCAATAAAGTAAAATTTATACCAATGTAAATTATTCATATCTATATCATACCCCCCTTTAAATGTAAAAGAACATTTATAGACAATATTTGGGAATACGGGCATATTTTTTTCTCTCCAAACTGCTTCATGCTGTATGGGGGTGCTGTTAATCAGGTCTTTCATGGTGTATCCTGTTTGCTAGGTTACTCTCAGTCAACAGTTGAACAAAGTAATTTTTGAGGGTGTTTATGGCAACCTTTCAGGAGGGCATGGTCTGTCATACCATATTGGTCTAGAAGCAATCCACAGGGTCTCATCCTCTGTGAAAACAAAAGAAGAACCTCTTTTCCAAAACATCATATCCTTAGACCCAAATTCTGAAGTCAAGATACCTTTATGATATACATGCTGGATTAGTTTAGCAGCACATACAATGAAAAGTCTCTCTGTACTTAGCTCCTTTGCAGTCAAAAAATTTAAAGAAAACACAATAATACACATAATCCAGACTCTCTGTGAATTTTCCATTTTTATGTGGATTATTTCTCTTTACTTATTTTAATCTATAACTATCTGTACTCTGTCTCTTTAAATACATTACCCTTTTTTAAAAGCATTAACTATTTTATTACTCCCTATACTCTTTATTTCTTTTCTCTTTTAAGCCTACTAAATACCTTTATTCAACAGTGTGACCCATTTAGAGGTCTTTTATGTCTGAATTTGTCCTATTGCAAATCTGTAATTCCTTACTGTCCAGGAACACTTTTGCTTTGTGCTTTTAAAATGCTAAGCTCTTAAGAATCTAAGCTGCAACAATCCCAGGTCAAATACAGGTACTGCCTGGTTGCCCTGTGCAGTCCAACATGGCAGAACTGCTTGTGCCTCTGAGCCGTGTGCACTGCACCACTAGCATGGCAGAGCTGCTTGTGCCTCTGAGTCACTTGTGCCTCTGAGCCTTGGCACACAATGGCCCCCTTTTAGGCACATAGCCAGTCCAGTTGCAATCAAACAAACCATAGCACTTTAGTCACAAACCCCATTGAAATTCTCTATCTCCTGCAAGAGACAGGTTGCACTGGCGGCACAGCCCAGAAACTGGTATTTCAAGACCACCACTTTCTAGTAGACCTGATCCTGCTGCCTACCCAGACGGAGTGCCAAGACACAGGCATGGTCTCAGGTACTTTGTTTCCAACTCTGAATGAGCACACAAACATCCAGGCCCACAAATGCTCCATAGCTGGAGATTGCACCAGTGGCAGGGCCCAGGAAGCCTCGTTTTAAAATGGTGTGACTTTTTTTAATTGTTGCTATTGCTGAGTCAGGAAAATCTCTCAGGAGCACGCCACCAGCAAACAGTGAAAAACTGTGTTAAATTTTGTTTTATCTGTGTGTCTAGAATTTCTTTTCAAGCCCTCTCAAGTTTTACGTGGAGTTAGTCAACCACATTGAGGTGCCAATTGTTGAGGGAAAGGAGCCTGCATTTTGTCCCGGCCGCCCTGCTAGATTACACCCGAAATAATCACACAAAAACTGTATTAATTTACACTGTCTGGCCCATTATGTCTAGCCTCTTATTGGCTAACTCTTACATATTAGTTTAACACATTTCCATTAATGTGTATCGCCACTTGACTGTGGCTTACCAGCATGAATCTAACCAGCATCCATCTTGGGCAGGAGAACCATGGCTTCTGCCTGTCTCTGCTTTCTTCCTCCCAGAATTCTGTTCTGTCTTCTCCGCCTACCTGAGTTCTGCCCTATCAACTAGACCAAGGCAATTTCTTTAATAACCAATGAAAGTAATACAAATATAGAAAGGCCTCCTACACCAAATCTTAAGTTGTATTTTAAACACTGAATTTCAAAACTTTATAATGCATTTAAGCCAATTTTCTTAGGAACATATTTTATTCATATTTTGTCATATTGTATTATACTTAAATTGTTTAGTTTCAAGTGAAACTGGTGTAGAAACTTGTAGAAAAAGCAAATGTAGGACTCTGAGTCAGTTTGCAAAAGAAGTCATCATATTAAGTGAAATTATCTAGATTCTGAAAGACAAATAAGTATCAAATGTTTTCTCTCATTTGTGGATCCTAGTTTTTTTAATGACGCATGAAACCACACACACATGTATGTGACATGAAAATGTATATATTCACACACATATATGACATGAAAGCATAAGTAAATCTAAGGGAAGGAAGAAGACTCAAAGATGGTGGGAAGGAATGGGAAGGCATTGGGAGTGTATATGCTCAAAGTACACGATATACTTGAAAGTAATTGCCTTTATGAAATTGAGCATGGAAGAAATTTTATGAGGAAATTTGGAAAAAATGTATTTTATTATTGAAAGTAACCACTAGTGATCAGTATTCAAAATTCTATGAGTATCTTTTACTATAAAATAAAAAAAAAACTTTTACTTAGACTAGAGAGATGACTCAGTGGTTACGAATACTTGGTGCTCTTCAGAGGCTCCAGATTTAGTTCCTGGCACTTACTTACATGGCAACTCATGGCCATCTTGAACTCCAGTCCCATGGGGCCTAATGGCCTACTCTACACAAGCATCAAACATGCACATGGTGTACACATACACACACACTCTCCTCTCTCTCTCTCTCTCTCTCTCTCTCTCTCTCTCTCTCTCTCCGTGTGTGTGTGTGTGTGTGTGTGTGTATGCACAGGCAAAGCCTTCATACACATAAAATAATGATAATTAAAAATAAGTTAATAAAATAAATTTTAGAAGATCTTTGGCTACTCAAACAAATCTCCTTAAAGGGATATAAGATAAGAGCTTTTTGTTATACTTTTTCTTTTAGAAGGAAAGGACTGGCAGTTTTCAAAACAAGTGATAATTCATACTGTAGTTTGTAGAATAAAAGCCTCAATCAATATGACATTATTTTTTAAAAAATATTTTTCTTCCAGTATTTCATTAACTTATATAAAGATTAACCAAGTAGCCTGTCTTTGGACTTCATAAAGCTTTTATTTATAAAAGCTAAAGTTAACTTAGCTTTACTAACTTTGTGATTAGAAAACTCCCTCAAATTATATTAAATATGTCAATGTATACATAAGGGTAAAGATTGCTTTATAGCAATGGTGGTACTTTTTATATTAGTATATAAAGGAAGGATGTATTGCTTAAGAATGTATTAATATTAAAGACCTTTACTGGGTATCAAGTCTAAATAAATCCTAGATGGAATAAAAATCTATTCATAAAATAAAATGCTATTTAAAATGTAAGAGAAAAAAGAGGTATATTTTTAACTGTTTTGAAATAAATTAGTTCTTATATAAACCAAAATCTTGAAGCCATCAGAGGAAAAATATATATATATTTGACTATATAAAATAATTATAATAAGTCATATACAATGATTAATAAATAAATAAAAATACTGGAGGAACTATTTGTAATATACACAACAAAGGTTAAAATTCTTAATGTATTAAGAACTCATATAAATAAATAATGAAGAGATGACTACTATTCAGAAAAGTAGAAAAAGTCGACAGATAGGTAGTGAACAGTATAAGATGTATTAATGGCCTAATCAAAGATACTAAGTTTTTATCAGCAATTGTATAAGTATCAATTTTATAGACCATTTATATTTTGATACTGGGGGACTTTTTCTTAGCAGTGCTAGGGATCAAACTCAATGCCTCATGTACATCCATATGTGTGCATTTTCTTTGTCTTTGAGCTTCAAAGACTTAATGACTTAAATGAATCATAATTTTGCTGTTGAATAAAAAGGGTAGGAAAACAGAAGTATGCCTGTGGTGGAAGTGTAAATTGCTGCTGTGTATTGCTAACTTTTTGAAGAACCATATAATAACATCTTAAAAAATCAAAATTAGTATGATTCTTAGTATAGAAATTCACTTCTAGGAATTTGTTCTGAGAAAACAGTGCAGCTGTGAATGATCCCAATTGTTTGTATAAGGAATAGGATGCTAGTTTCATCATTGTTTATACCTGCTTCCATGCTGTATTGTTTCTCTTTTTTTTCTGTACTGGGGAATGACCGTAGAACCTCATGCATTGTAGAGAAGCACTCTACCATAGGGTTGTTTTTCCAACCCTGAATTGCTTAAAATTTTCAAGTATAATTATAATTGAAATTTTATAATTAGTAAAAACAATAAAACTTTTTAATTTGAAGAACAAAACATTGCTTTAGAAAAGACACATGTTTGTCAAAATTATAATCATATAAATCATATAAAGTTCTCTATTAAATCTTAATATATAGTTGTAACCATGAGGGAGGATGGGGAAAAATAAGAAGGAACCAAAAGATATTCAAAGGGAAGTGTGCTATTAGTAAAAGTTACCCCAGACTAATGTGGAACTCAGGATCTTCCATCTGGGATATCAAGGACAGGTTCCACTATTCCCAACATTACCTTTCTACCAGAAATAAGTGTCATTCTCTTAAAAAATTATGTCTTTTGTTTCTCTGTGAATGGAGAAAGATTGATAAAGTTTTAAGCAAAACACTTATAGCATCTTAGAAACCTTATTTTTCTTAGTTAACTGTTTATTTTCTCAAAATACTTCTTCCTAAACTATTATAGATGCAATTTTCACTTAAAGTCCTCTAATAGGAGCCATTTGGCAAGATCAGAAATGGCAGAACACAGAGTGACAAACCTTGAATGATGTCACTCATATAGAATCTAGAGAATTTAAAACACAGAGAAGAAAATTGTAAACTAGTGGTTGCTGGGGGCTGGTGATGGAAGGTCACTGGGAGAGGAGATGTTTGTATATATTGAAAGTTACAGAGCAAAATGGTAAGATACAAAAAAGTTCATGAGGTCAGTCTATAGCTGAGCAATTAGAGTAAATAAGCATATATTGAATATCTGAAATTTGCAGAGGAAGTTGATCTTAAGTGTTTTCATGAGCTGATATCTATGTTGGTAAGCTTGATTACACGAATGAATAAAAAAAAGTAAACTTATACAAAAGCATTGTGTTGTTTACTTAAATAGATATAATTTTTATTTGTAGTGCCTCTATAAAGTTAAAAAAATATTTAAAAATAATAAAATAGGGGCTGAGGTATGGCTTCTTATTCGAGTACTATGCACAAAGCCTGGAGTTCAATCCCTAACACTGTAAAAATTATATTAAAATAAATGGGCATAATTTAAATTGATGTTATATTGTGAAATAAATTATATATTTATTCACCATTTAGGGAGTTAGTAATTTTTCATATAATACTTTGAAAATACTGCTTTATTTCATATGAACTAGACATTGATATTTTTATTGTTAATTGCAACTTAAGTATTCATATAAAATACTTGATCTGAATTGAAAAATTGTTATTTTAACTTTTAAAAGTATGTTATTTAACTCATTTTTTTCTTTGTTAGATAACGGGGAAGAAGGCATATACTACAAGCCAGCAAATTTATCAAGCCATTAAGTCATTGTGGACAAAAAGCAGTGAAAAAGAATCACTCCCCGAACCAAAGGAAGGAACTAAGGTATACTTTAAATAAACCAAAACAGTACACATTAAATTTCAGTTTCAGTAAGCATTGGCCCATATTGATGATACTACCAAGAGGTCAAAGATAAAATAGAGATAAATGAAAGACTCACAATAACTTGGTATGGTATAATTTTATATTCTTTTAGTAAAATAATTTGCTTCTGAAACAACAATGTTTTTCATAAACAGGTAGGAAGGTCTGATGAAATACATGCCAAAACTCCTGACTCGAAACATTCAGTGTCTTTTCCAAAAGAACTTGCCTCTGCAACAAAGGTTAAATCGGAATCTACTGCAGGTTTGTTTGGAATTTTTAATTTTGTTTTCAGTTTTATTCAATAATTTTAGGGCATTATAGTTGATACTCTGAACTTCCATGTTTTCCTAAATGTTTTCTCTCTTATATGTATGCTGTGGTTTTCATTTTTAGTTATGAGGGACCTATATCCCTGAGATTTTTCCTTTTTAATCACTACATAGCTGTAATACGAGTCTCCACGTGTGTGGGTATAGAGTAGTACTGTCAGTATGATTGAGTGAAGCATTTAATATCACTTTATAAATGTGAGCTATTCTATCAGGAGGAGGAAAATGTACCTTTTTAGAATCCTATCAACTGACAGGTGTGAGTCACACCTACATAAAGCATATCAGCTTCCATTTCTCATGCTATTTACCTGTCAGTCTCCTGTCAGGCTTAGTTTCCCTGGTCTGTGCTTTAATTAAGTACAGTACCAGAAGAAACTGCAGCATGAAGTAGTACATGCAGCATTGTTATAACTTTGCTAGTATTCACTATTGACAATTAATACTTTGTGGTACTAAAGAGTAATAGTTACACTTTTGAAAGATATCCCATCATGATCAAAAAGAATGTGGCCAAATGTTTAAAACTGCTTTGAGAACCTAGTCACATAAACCTATCTGCCACAGATTTGCATGGATTTGCTTTTCTGTACAATGTGAATGATTCAACCCATAAGCTGCATCATTGCAAAGGAAATCTGCCAGATTCAGAGGTGGAAAGGTAGAAATAGTACTGTGATCTATTTATAAATCATGTACTGTGATAGAGAGTGCTTATAAGTATTGTATTTAACCATCAATACAAATCAAAATGAAAACCCACATTTGATGTAGTGGTGGTTATTCCCATCTCATGATGGAAAGCTCCCAGAGAGTAAGCTGTTGCAGGGAACAGGCTTCTTGTTCATCCCGGCCACCCCGTTAGCTTAGCCCTGAAATAACCACACACAAACTATATTAATTAAATCACTGCTTGGACCATTAGCTCTAGTTTCCTATTGGTTAATTTTTATATCTTAATTTAAACCATTTCTATTAATCTGTGTATCACGACGTGGCAGTGGCTTACCAGGAAAAATTCCCACTGTGTCTGTCTTCAGCGGATCCTTGGCATCTCTCTGACTCTGCTTTCTTCCTCCCAGAAATTCAGTTCTGTCTTCTTCACCTACCTAAATTCTGCCCTATCAGGCCAAGGCAGTTTCTTTATTCATTAGCCAATACAATCAACACACAGAGCAGACTACAACATCAGTAAGCAGGTGTTTTTTTTTTAATATTCAATTTGTCAGTAGCAGAACCATATTTCTACCTCATCTTCATGATGCCACAGTCCAACCTCTTTCCATTGTGCATAGTTCTTCTAATATAAAACCAGAATTTAGACTCTAATTTCCTCTTCCTCCTACTCCTATCTCAATCTCCATTTGGCAGTACAACCTACAACCCAAGCAGTTGGGAAACTGAAACAGAAGACTTGGGACTTGGAAGCCAGTATGGGCTCTTACTTATCTAGTGAGTTCCTATTCTAGTCTGGGCTACATACCAAGACCCTGTCCCCAAAGAGCAAGATTCTAATAACAATAGTATAAGAACAAGAAGAGTTGTCATCAAATAGCAAAACCTGATTTGGCTATTCTTCTGTCTTTCCTTTCTAATCAAGATAAGTTATACAACTTTTAGACTTTCTCTGAGTAACCTACAGTTGAGCATATTTATAAAGGATATAATATATGCCGTCATTTTTCTAAATGTCTTGCCAGTTCTCACCTATCTTGGTGAAGGTGAAACAAAATACAGCTTAAAGTAGGATTCAAACCATTCTCACCTAATATTTTTCCTTATCCACCTATGATCTGGAACTCCTTTCCTGTCTTGGATGATGTGGTATATAAAGAGCCTTCTAAGGAGACTTGCAGTGGAAAAGGCATACCAGTGATACTTATGATCATTATATCTCTTAGTTCATGCTACTATAAATAAGAATAATATAGACTGCATTGCTTTCATTCAAGAGAATGTAAGTTCAAGATTAGGGTGCCAGAATGGCCAGGTTCATATGAAGACACACTTCTGGCTCTTAAACAGTTGGGGTCTTGAATCTCTCACATGACAAAGAAGAGAACCAAGCAGATTGTGAGGACACTTTACCGGATACAAATTCCACTCATAAGGACTTCATCACCTCATCTAATCCCGATTACCTCCCAGAGGTCTTGCCTCCTAATACCATCACATTGGTGGTTAGGGTTTAAGTGTAACAGAATATTTTTGAAGGTTAATTATCTCAACTTTAGAATTTATCATTTCTCCATTTCACATATAATCACCAAGTTCCATGACATGGGAAGTGGCAGTGATTATGATCACAGGTTTTAGGATAAGACTTGTAGGTAAGTACTAAACCCAGTATTTGAATAATTCTATTACCTGGAGCAAGATACTCAACACCATTTATGTTCAGTTTTGCTATCCGCAACTCAGTTTCCTCATCCACAAAAATAAAAAAAGAGAGAGAATAATAGTTCTCACATGTTTGCTGCAAGGGTTAAATTCTCTCTCTCTCTCTCTCTCTCTCTCTCTCTCTCTCTCTTTCTCTCTTTCTCTCTCTCATGCACACATGCACACATACCCTGACACAGGGTCTCATTATGCATTCCAGAGTAACCTTGTACTGCTAGGAGTCCTCCTGCTTCAGCCTTTTCAGTTCTGAGTGAAGCCTCTATTCAGATAAATTATAAGTTCCACAGGTAATTCTGTGTGTTCAACAATTTAAGAATATCTGAGGATCAAAGTTCTAAAGGTAGAAGGACCTTTCTAATTAGGAAATTTGAGTGAACCAAGGCTTTGATCAGACTGTGGACTGGAATGTAAATTAAAGGAGTAAGTAGAGATGTTAGAGGACTTAGGAAATTCACACCTGGTATGGGAGAATTGTCTGTATTCTGTCAATCATGTTTTAAATAAATGCTGATTGGCCAGGCAGGAAGTATAGGCAGGTCGATTAGAGAGGAAGTAGAGGCGGGGTGATAAGAACAGGAGAATTCTGGGAAGGAGGAAGCCCATTGTTCCCCATTCCTGCCCAGACCACCAAAGAAGCAGGATGTGATCTACCCCGCTGAGAAAGGTACCGAGCCATGTGGCTAACATAGATAAGAATAATGGGTTAATATAAGATACAAGAACTAATAAGAAGACTGAGCTAATGCAGACTCTCTCTGTGATTTTCTCTGGGACTAAACGGCTGGGGGACCGGGCAGGACAGAAGCCCTAACAAGCAGGCCCTCATGTTATAGCACACACTGTGAAGCAAATCTGAATGCAGAAGACACATGTAATTATTTGTCACATCCTACTAATATCTCTGCTTAATACACCTTTGTTGGAGGGGTGGCCACTGGCAGGTTGTCCATGCCCCAGTGGAGAACCCCAAAGCTATGCTCATACAGGAAACATTAATTGGATTCAGTGGATTGTTTGAAGGAAAGGAAGGGGGTGAGGGAGAGAGAGAAGATATGAAATGTTTGAAGTGGGAAGGGAGTCATATCAGGGGAAGGGCCAGAAGAAGCTAAAGGGAGGGAGTGGGGAGTGACTATGATTATGATACATCATATACCTTTCTGAAGGTTACTGATGATAGATAAGTTTCTTAATGCTTTAGTAGATAGCCCTAAACATGCACATATGGGAAGCATGAACAGCACTTAGTGGTTTATCAAAAATAAATAAAAGGGCTGGAGAATTTGCTCAGTGGTTAAGAGCACTGGCTTCTCTTAAAGATTACCCAGGCTTGATGCCTTGCACCCACATGACAGCTCATTACTGTCTATAACTCCATTTACAGGGGATCCCATGCCCTTTTCTGGCTTTTGTGGATACCAGGCATGCATGGGGTATGCCTATATACACACAAACAACCATTTATGATAACTGATAATGATAATAATGTTAATAATAACAATAATAATATTGATATGAATTTAGCAATATGTTTTGGAAGATACAGGGGTGGGAAATGGGAGGCAGTTAATTCTCATATATCACTGTGCACATATATGAAATTCTCCCCACTCTTGGATGGAACATAGAAGCCAATCATTGGCTACCAAAAAAGGGAAAATCTGTTTTCCCCAGGGACAAGCCCCATGACAGGTTATCTGATCCCTTGTGGTCAGCCCTAAACATGTATCAAATGAACAATAATGGACTATGTTGTGTATGTGTATTTCTGAAGGTTCATAACAGTAATTGCTTTCTTAGAGTCTCTTTAGATTTATATATATATATATATATATATATACATATATATATATATATGCCAGAATTTATATAGCCACAATTTTCACTAAAAAAAGATAGGAAAATTATGTATGTATGTATGTTGTATGTACCAGTAATAAAGAAGAGGTTATGAAGTTGAGAGTGGAGTTAGCATGGGAGGACTTAGGGGGGGAAGAGTGTAAATGATATAAAAAAAAGTACCCAAAACCTAAATATTCGATTTAACAAAATTCTCAAAAATAAAGAAAAATTTAAAGAAATTTTCAAGGAATTAAAAAAATAGTTCAAAAAACTTTTCACATTATTGAGCATGGCTGCCACCAGGTGGCAGTGAAGATACATTTGAGAAAAGCTGACAAGCACAAAACCATTAGCATTTCTTTACCCTCTTTTAAGCCATTTTCAAAAGTTTTCAAATGAAAATCAAATATATAGTAATATTTTATTGTATTTAGATATTTAAAAATATTATCTAGTAACAGAATTAATGCCTACTGTAATTTTCAAGTAGTACCATTTGGAAATATAATCTGTAAGATAATATGAAAACATCTAATACTTCTGTTGGCAATAAAAATGGAAACATAATATTCTTGTGGTTTGTCACCTACATTTACTACTGAATAAAATATATAATTTTTTAGAGATTAGAAAACTTGTCTATATCATAGTCCCCTAAAAGGACCTCAGATGAAAAATTCCCTAATGTATGGTGAACAGTATTAATGTCATGGGTAGTGTTCATGACCTGATTTTTTAAATATATTTGTTCATAATTTCATATATATCACACTTTGTAAAGTATAAAATGTTTTTGGAAATACAGACATAATATAAATCATTGTATTCACTTTTTTTTTGTTTCTATAGCTTTGAAGCCTGCCCTGTAACTAGCTCTTGTTCTTATAGACCAGGTTGGCCTCAAACTCAGAGATCCCCCTGCCTCTGCCTCCCTGGTGCTGGGATTAAAGGCATGCGCCACCACCACCTGGATCTTCCCTTGTTTTAAATTATAAAGCTGAAAATATTCTGTGAGCAAAATCTATGGCTCTCCAAATTTATAAAATTATTTAAAAATGATTCAGACATTGGAAAAAATTTAAAAAATAGAAGGAATTATTAGATTTACTTTTCAGAGACTAGAAAATTTAAATTTATGTTGTTGACTACTTTTGCTATCTTAAGACAAGTACCCTAACCCTTATCTTTTTTTAAGTAAACTTCCATTTCTAATCAATAATAGAAGTGCTTTTACTATTTTGTTATTTCTTGCTTACTTACAATGCACAAAGTAGTATATGCATTATGTTGCTCCCATTATCTTATCTAATGCTAAAAGTAAGTGTGTGATGTTGTTACTATACTAACCTCCATTTTTCAGAAAGTCAAGCCTCTATAGGAGCCTTGACAAGGCTAGTCACTCTGGCTTCCCCACTTAGCAACTGAATTATAATAGTCAAATTAATCTCTCTAAATTAAAATCTCCTTATTTGCCAAATGTGGATAATTCAGACATGCATTGCTTGATGCCAGGGACAAATTCTGATGAATGTGCCATTACATTAGATGATTTCATCATGGTGGAAACACCACTGTGCATGTATGCAAATTAGTTAACATAGGTCAGTATGCAATGTGACTTATATCAACGTAACCCCAAACGTGTGGTACATTGGACTCTATCTTGCCTGGCACACAATTAATTTGTCAAGCTAACTATTAAGTCATATTATCAAATCTAAGAATAAATTCTCAAGCTCAAACACATGAAACCCATCAGTAACCATAATACAGTTTAGGCTCCTTCATTTTTGAAATAATCACTTCACTTGGCATATAAGATATTCTTACTCTTTTTTTCTTTTTCTTTTTTGTTTTTCGAGACAGGGTTTCACTGTGGTTTTGGAGCCTGTCCTGGAACTAGCTCTTGTTCTTGTTCTTCTCACAATTCTCTCAAATGTCACCATCCTTCAGGGAGCAAAGCAATGGCTTTTTATCTGCTATGCCTACTTCTTTCTTCCTATATAGTCTCTTTTACTTAGGTAAAACTTCTCTGATTAAACACAGCTATGCCATTCGTCTACTTAATGGTGACCCTGAACTTCCGTGAGCCTCTGTTCTCTCACTCACCGACACCTATTTGTCTACTGTATTGTAGCCATGTCGTATTGGGGCCTCACACTTCCTTGCCTTCAGCTCATCGTGGAAGTCACTTCTCACAGATATCTACAGAGCACATGTCTGTATCTCCCTCGATTCTTTGCTCAAATATCACCTTTCAAGAAACCCTTTCTAAGCCACATTATATAAAATTAGAAATTATCCCAACATTTCATGTGTCCCTCTGTGATTTCGTGTTCTGTGCAACACATAACCATCATAGAACGTACTATGTATTTTACTTATCTTGCTTATCTCACCCATGTGAGGCTCATGTTGAGATTTTGTTTTGCTCATTTCTATATTCCTAATACCAAATATAAATGTCTTCTTTTTCACTTTAATACTTCATCAGGCACTACACAGTTTCTACCTGACCCCAACCTCATGGATCATGGGCAGTCTCATCCAGAAGATAAAGATATGTACAGCACTAGAAGCTGAAATGGACTACAGTGGGAGCCTGTGGAGAGATCCGCAAGATGTACCAAGTGGGAAACGATGGTGAAAGATCATGTAATAGATGGGAAACTGACAGCATGATTCTACATGTTCCCATGTTTAATTCCAAATAAACAGTTTGGCCAATGATGCAAGTGGTTAAAACACAAATTAATGAATACAACACAAGTAATATTAAGAGATTAATGAGGCAACTGAAGTAGAAGTACTAGGAGTATATTTTATGACTTGTAAGAGTATTTATTAGAAAGCAAAATAAGGTGAAGATATGAACGTCAGTAAGACTAAAATACGCAAATATGCATATGCAAATATACATATACATATTTATACATGTGAATCTGCTTCAATTTTCCCAGTTTATTCTCAGTTAACTTAGAGTGGTGGATAGAAGGATGTGGTTTTTTTCTCCAGAGCTGAAATAAAATATCCATATTTTATGGCACATGAACTTGGATATATGTCTTTGTTTTATTTAATTTAACTTTTTTTTTTTTTTGTTTTTTCGAGACAGGGTTTCTCTGTGGTTTTGGAGCCTGTCCTGGAACTAGCTCTTGTAGACCAGGCTGGTCTTGAACTCCCAGAGATCCGCCTGCCTCTGCCTCCCAAGTGCTGGGATTAAAGTCATGCGCCACCACTGCCCGGCTTGGTTTAACTATTCTTAAATGCCTGAAAACATCTTAAACAGACTGTATACTACATTGTCCTAATATTGCTTACCAACTTTGATACTACTTCCTGGGTGTTGTGCTTTTTCTGTTTTATTCCTCTCAGGCCTCATAAACCCATCAACATCATCTTTCCTATTTCATCGAGAAGAAATGTACAATTCTTCGATCCGACCATTCATGTCCAGTCACCTACCTTCCTGAGTTAACTCTTTGCACTGTGTTCTTTGTACCCTTTCCTAAGACTTGTGTTTTCAACTCAGATCCCCGATTTTCCATTTTTACAGTACTGTATTTCATCTTGTTTAAACCTCAGTCTTCGGTTTCTCTTCAGCTCTATCCCTCAACTGGTAAATGGATTTAGTTTTTTTTTTTTTAAGAAAATCTTAAAGCACAATACAAAAAAAGGACAAAACATAACAGCCTCTTCCCTCAAACTGTCTTTTGACTTTCTTTCTTTAATTTCTATACATGTTTAAAGTGCTATTAATGTGTAAATGAAGTAAAGCACATTGATTATCAATAATACTTTAGTGACCATTACAGCCATTAGGTGTTAGATATTTAGGAGACAGGCAAATATTGTTTGATTATTAAGGATGCTTCAAACCTCAGTCACTGATAACACACTGCCTGGAGTGCTTTAAAATTTGCCCTGCCTTTCTTCCTGCATCAGCTTCTGGCATGCTGATGCACACCTTGTTTTCTGCTTCACTGTCAATTGAGTTTCATAATCAAATAAGCACAAAGCTTAGATGGCCTAGCAAGTAAAAGTGTTTTCCCTGAAGCCAAATGACCTGAATTAGAGCCCTCAGAGCCACATGGTGCAATGAGAGAACTGAATCTTACAGGTTATCCTGTGACCTGCACACAAGACAGTGACATGCTTATGTGCACACATGATAAATATTTTTTGTTTTGTATTTTGAGACGGGATTTTACTGTATAACAGCCTTGGTTGTCCTGGAACTTGCTCTTGACCAAGCTGGCCTCAAACTCGCAGAGATCTGCCTGCCACTGCCTTCCAAGTGCTAGGATTAAAGGCATGCGCTACTACTGCCCAGCTAAGTAAGTGTCTTTAAGTAAACAGAGTCCATTATTATTATTATTATTATTATTATTATTATTATTATTATTCAGAGTTTTTCTATGTAACAGTTCTGGCTATCCTGGAACTAACTTTTAGACCATGTTGTCCTCGAACTCAGAGATACACCTGCATCTGCCTCCTTAGTATTGGGATTAAAGCCCCTTATAATTTTTTTCTACCATGGCTTCTACAATATCTCCAAAGAGAGTAAACCACTAATAGAAAGATTATAAATTAAGGAAGATTGTTCAATGAAAATAGATGTTTTTGTTAAGGCAAAGAGTAAGGTATTCTGTATTCATATGAGCTTTCAATGACTATAATTTGGAAAGGGCATATATGCAAAACCATGCTGCAAATTTGGATTCAGGTCAAGGACTGTATGTTAAGGACAAAACAGAAGAACTGAAAAAAAGTCTGTCTTCTCAAAAAATTTAGGTTTTAAGTTATAGCTCATATGAATTATATTGTTATATTGCAATAGCTAGTTTTTGACAGCTTATTTAATAGCAAAACTAAAACCATTCATTTATAGTGAGTTTCTTAAGCAATGTGTAGAGAGTATGACAAATATAACACCCTTAGAAAGGGAGAGCTAGTTCTAAATAAATAGACCTCATGAGACCTCAGTCAGGCAGATTGAAAACTGGGAAAATCTATTGAAAGAAGTTTGGGAGTAGAAGCACTGATTGTAAATTTTATGCGTTAGAGGTGGATGACAGCACTCATACTACAGATGTAGTTGAATTTGATATGTTGATGATGGAACTGATGACAAATATAATTTCATTGGAGAAATGACTTCTTTAGGGACATTCAAGGGTAAAACTAAATAAAGAGATATGAAGTGGAAATGCATATGTTAAAAGAATTTTCCTTATCTAGTGTCAACATATTTAGTATAGTAACTGACAGTGTCCCAGCAGTGGGGGACAAAAGACAGGAATTTCTAAAATTAATACAAGACAATGAAATTACTTCCTCAAATGTTTATCTCATGAAGTGTCATTGCATAACACACCAAGAGATTTTGTATGTGCAGTCATTAAAATGGGGCTGAGATGGTCTAGTGGGACAAAGGCTTATCATGAAAGCATGAAGACCTGAGTCTAAATCTCTAGAAGCCAAGTAATACCAAGTGTATCAGTGCACCTCTGTAATCTCAATGTTTCTACCCTCTTACAAGAAGACTGTGGAGATAGGAGGACCCTCAGAAGTTTCTGGGGTAGCTAGGCTCATGTTTGCAATAGTGAAGAACAAGAAATGTGTCTCAAGTTTTGGTCACAACACATATTCTTGTACTATAGATGTGCCCACACTCACACATTATTGTCTACACTAACATGTACACTCATGGACACTTTTAAGTATTTAAAATGGATAGTGTCATGTACAAGATCAAGCCAGTCAAAATTCCAGCACAGATAGGAGAGCTCCTGCCACTCAATGTTGAGGTCCTACCCCCTATCCAAGGAGCTATGACCCACTGAATGATGCTAACAAATAGTCACTTTCTATTGGGTATGTGGCCCCTGGTAGGTTGCTCAAGCCCCACTGGATGGCCTATAGCCATGTGCATATGAGCAGCATTAATTAGAGTCAGCATTAAAAAATAATGTGATGTGAAGTTAGGAGGGAGATTGAGTAGAGAGCATAAAGCAGAGTTGGAGAAGTAGTAGTGGATGGATATGGTCAGAATACATTGTATAGATGCATGGAACAAGGAAACAGTAGACATGGCAAACTGGTAGGGAAAAGCCCAGAAGGTATCAACTCAACCCAAAGAACTACAAGCAATGAAGGATGATGAGAGCAGGAGAAATAGTCTTCCTCAGGGAGGAGCGCACAAATTGGTTATCCAATACCAAATGGTCAACCCTGAAATCACAAGTTACACTATACAGACTGAGCAGCTTGGACTTACATATAAGGAATATGTATATGTATGTAAGAACAATTAATGAGAAAAGAGGCCACAAATTTGAAAAAGAACAAGGAGTGGTACATGGGAGAATTTTGAGGGAGGAAAGGAAAGCGGGACTGATGTAATTATAATCTCAAAAAATTAAAAGCAGAGAAAAATAAAAATATATTTTAATTATTTAAAACAATCTTGAAATTATAATTTTCATAGTTACCCCTCTACTTTCCTACCTGCAAATCTCATATATCCCTTCTGCTCTCTGTCAATGTGATGACCTCTTTTTCATTAGTTGTTATGCAAGTATGGGTGGGTGTGGATGTTGGTGTGTCTGTGTATGTGTGTGTTCCTAAATATATAAATACAACTTGCTCAGTCTGTACTTGAGTTTTTAAACCTGAATTTTATAAGACCCAAAGGGTTAAACTATCACCAGCTAACAAAAATTCCTTAAAAATGTTGATTTTGACATGGCAGTATTTACTTTCAGAAGTAAGGTGGTTCGAGGCCAAATGTTGAAAACAATGTGATTTTTGAGACGTTATCAAGTCTTTTATGATATCACATACAAAATTCATGCCAGAACTTGATAATGAAAACTACAGACTTGGCAGTTTCAGGTATTTAACTTCTTATTTAAGTTATACACACACACACACACACACACACGCATTTTCAAGGTAAAAATCAACTTATCAGTACAAGTTGTCAAATTATAACAGTGTTCCGAAAGAAACTGAAATTATACCATGTTGTCATGTTAGCTATACATAGTTCCCTGATCTCCAAAAATTATGTAACCTTGCTTTTTAAATTTAACACAAGAATGTGCTCATAGATTTTAAGGCTTCTGCGAAATATTTTTTTTTGTGCATTTGCCACTCCATTTCCAGTCAACATAATTTTTCCCTGACCATTTTCAATGGTCAGCATGGAGCTGAAATTTGATACTGATCTTAAAGAAAAAAGAGTTCATTTCTCTTTAATAGATTTATAGGTCCCATTTTCTTAAATTCCAATATCCTTCACTTCATGATAGCACCATTCATGACATTGCTTTGTGACAGCACCTACATTTGTAAACAACAATTTCAAGAATTAAGCATATTAAAAGTAGAATTAGAACCAAGATACTCAAAGAACATCTGAGAACTCACTGAGAATTAGAGCTGCTTTGATGCATTAGGTTTTCAGATACAATGCCAGATACACAACTAGTTTTATGCTATCCTTTTAATTTTACTTTTGTAATCAGTTTAGTTTTTATATAGAGAAGGGTAATCAATTTCTTGTCTAGCTTCCTCTCTTTTAACTTTTCTTGAACTTGGAACCTCATAACTTCTATATTTACTTGAATTCTTAGGTTGTTAATCAGTGTTCACCATTCCGTTCTTGAGACTTACTCCTCCTTTGTATTCTGTTATCCCTGCATTTCTTGTTACTCTTCCTGCTTCTGTTGCTC